CTGGCTGTCTCTTCTCCACAAACAGATACTCCAGATGCTGCAACTGTCTCAGCCTCATTTGTAAAATGGCTCCTGGCCATCCCTCAGGTCTCAGCTTTAGGGTCAAAGGCCATGGACAAACTTTTTCTAATCACCATACAAAAATGTTTCTCTTTGAACCTACTTCTTTATTCTCCATCAACAGTGTGTCCTATTTCTTTTATACTCTCTCCATTAGAGTTAAAGTTGCATTTGCTTTTATTTACATTTTTTAGTCTCCCATATTAGACTGTTGTTATGTGTACTCTTTCCCTCCAGCTGCCTGGGTCCCATCACAGCTTCAGCCCCCAAATAACATACAATACACTATATTAATTATGAATCTGTTGGCCATTGATTAGGGCTTCCTATTGGTTAGCTCTGTCTTAATTGCTAACCCATTTCTATAAATCTAAGTATTTCCACATCGTCTTATCTTACCTGAAAAAAGGTCCGTGCCTCTTACTCCATTGCAGTCTACATTGTGTCTTTCTGTGCCTACACTTCCCAGAATCCTCCTCATCTCCTAGACCCACCTAGCTTGCTTCCCTATTGGCCAACAGTGCTTTATTTATCAGTCAATAAGAGAAGCATATTTATAGAATGACATCTCCCATCAGACTGTGAAGTTTCATAGGGCTTGATCATGTTCAATCTTGTTTAGCTTGGGGTTTCAGACCCATTGCACAGAGCCTGGTGCATAGATGCCCAGGGGGTCACTCATTGAAGGATTTGAAGATTGCATGGCACTTAGAATTTAGAGTGGAAATTTTTTTTCAGAGATTTATAAAAAGTCCACTTGTTAATGGAATGCAGTCTTGGGAAGAAGGGTGTGAGTAGAGGGGAAGCTAGCCACAGCCAAGATTTCATCAGAGCTAGCATGGTTTATCCTGGGAAAATTGGAAATCCTTGCTGGGCAACCCATGCATCCCCAAGCCAGAGCTGAGAATCCCCCAGCCACAGGCAGCTTTCTGGCCACAGTTACCTTCTGCTGTAGAGGTCTTGAGTAGTGTGGTTTTCCCCTTTTCAGTTTGTGGTTGGAATCTGGGGGAAGTACTCCCATTATCTGTTCTGCTGGACTCCATAGGCAGGAGGTTAGGATATAGGAATTAAGTGTCAGCCTCCTGGAGTAGTTTCAACAGTTGTGGTTTCTGGGGGAAGTGTTCCCTTCTCAGAGCCAGCTTAAGAAGAATAGAGAGGCTGTGGCCATCATTACTGTAACTTTTCTCTTACTATAGATGCAGCATCATCCTGCTGTGTGTACATGCAGATATTCCTACATGCTCATGATCTGAGCATTTATGAAGTTCAAATTCCTCCAGAAATATGTAACCCAACCCTCTCAGTTCTTGGAAGGACATTGAGGCCCTGAGAAATTTGGCTTGTCCACTGCCACACCATTAGTTAATGGAAGAGTTGGATTTACATAGAACTCAGCCTTCTACCCCTAACTTATTGTTTTAAAGGCTCACTTGAAAACACAGCTTCTGCCTATATTTTATTTATAGGTGAGGACTCAGAGCTTTTATTTTTGGTGTTCTGGGTTCTATGAAATGTAAAAAGACCATTTTTGCTTCCCTACCAAAAGGCCACTGTCAACAGAAGTCATAGCTCCAAGTGAAAGCCCAGCTTGGTCCCCTGACCTCAGCCCAACCCTTCATCACCACCTGTGTGGTTTCTTTTGATGTTGTTTTGAACTTACCAACCAGAAGGCAGCTGCTGAGGCTCTTACTGGTATCTGCCCATTGTGCTCATGCCTCAACCACCTGTCAACCTCCCCTTTGACTACAGACCACTTCCTGACCTGGTTTTTGCTTGTTAGAAATACACATTAGCCATGCTTAAGACCTGAGCATCAGCTAACCCATTGGAGTGTTCACTTGTTAGCAGAAGACTCTGTTGATCCATCAAGAAAATACAAGCTACCAGGTTGATTTATATTGCTTGTCTGCCTCCCCTAGCCTGGATGTTCTGAGAGTTCTGTCCATCCAACAGAACAGGGAATCTTAACTGTTTTCCAATTGTGACATCTTTTAGCCCAAGAAATTTTTGTGTAAGTTCATGTATATAGGTATATAAATAACTTATTGAAAGTAAATCACAAAGTAATTTATTTTAAAAGCAATTATTTCATAGGCCTAGGCCTAAAATTTTACCATTTACTAAAGATGAATGAAAACTTACATGCTAATGAGATGGACATGTTTGCTTATTTTTGCATAAAGAATTACATCTTGGATGAAATTTGATGCAGCAGGATATAGAGCAGTATCAATGTTCTTCACAGTTGATTGATATTTTGGTTGTATAACCACAGATGCTGAGAATGTAGCTCTGTGAATGTGTGGTATAAACTGGCAGAAAAAATGCTCAGAGTCATTTTAGAAATTGTTGAAAATCCTTTCTTAATCCCAATCAAAATTAATGATTTCTTTTTTATAAAATAAATCTCAAGTCAAAGATTCAAACTGAAGTTCTTAAGAAACCAAACATCCAAATCCAATAATATGAATCTGATATTATATGCTGAGGAATAATGGCAGGACAGTATGAAGTCTTTGTTTTTCATAACTAAACCATTACATTTCTATAAGAGCAGAAAATGATACTAGGAGAGGCCTGCATTCATCACCTACAAACATCTTAAATCTGTGCCAGAGCTTTTCAGGATGTGCTTGTTGGCATTGTGTGATGGGATGACCTACACATTGTAAGGTGTGCATGTTTGGTGTTCAGAACCAAAAGAAGTCATAGGATGTGCCATGGGGTCAGCATCGTCAGAGTCACCCTGAATTCACAGGGTGTTTGGTTTTGAATTAACTTTTGTTTGTAACATGTTCAGAAACCTTTGATTCTTGCCAGATTTTTCACAGCTTCCTACATTCAGTTTACATGGCCTCATATAAGGTCATAACCCATGGTATAAGAAGAGTGACATAGAAAACTAGGGCATTTTGGGTATAATAAATTTATATAATTTATTATATAATTTATATAATTTATATTATATAAATTTATATAAATTTATAATAAATAATAAAAAATTCTTTTTTATTATAGTTTTAAAATATATTGTATTTGTGAGCCATTTTTTTCTTGGAAGAAATATAAAAACACGTACTTATTGAGAAAAATATATAAAAAGCAATAGTATATTTACTGTGACAGAATTAGCCAAAGAAGGCCAAATCATGGCTAAAGTGTGGACTGTACAACTGAAAACCACACCCTTTGAGTAATATGCTTTGTATGGGACCTGAAATCTTTTGCAGGTGACATAGGCTGAGGTTGTGCATAGAGACAAAACCATCATAGCAACTGTTTGGGCAATGGTGGTGGTGACAGCAGCAGGAGGCAATGGCTGCAGCAATCAAAACATCTGTAGCAGGCCTTAGACAAGGTCTTCTGGAGAAATGATGTTGAGCTTGCATGTTTTCCTCACATCTCTGAATGCTCTGCATGTTCACACATCTGCTTCACTCATCTAATTTAGTGCTGATTCTGTGAGTTTCCCTAAATTATTACAATAATTTTCTTTTCAAATATTATATTCATTTGTGTGTGTGTGTGTGTGTGTGTGTGTGTGTGTGTGTGTGTGTGTGTGTGTGTGAGTGAGTGTGTGTTTGTGTGTTCCATGACCTGTGTGTGGAAGTCAGAGGATAACTTGTGGGAGTCATTTCTCTCCTTCAACCATATATGTCCTAGGGATTGAACATGGGTCCCCCAGCTTGTCAGAAAAGTGCCTTTACCTGCTGAACCATCTCTCTGGCCTTTTAATTTTATTTTTATTTACTTTAGCTACTGTTTAATACACTGGGTGGTGTTTATACATACTGGGTGAATGAGGTGAATTAATCCTCTGTAGAATTCTACTTGGGCCACTAGATATACTCAGTGGTATATGGTATACAAGTTACTTTTTTGTGTGTTGTGGAGGAGTAGGTTAGAGAAGATCTCTGTGACCTGTGCTCTCGAAGGAGGTGAGGGGAGTATGGACATCAATGAATGTGATTCTACACATTTGCATGGCCACAGAAATAATGCTAATTGAGTAAATGAATGAAATTCTTCACCCCCACCTTCCTCCCCTTGATGCAGGTTCTCACTCTGTAGCTCTATTTGCTATATATCCCAGGGTGGCTCCAAAGTTTTAGTGATTCTCCTGTTCCCTGCTTTCCCTCTTGAATGCTGGTATGACAAAGATGTGCCAGCATACCTTGCCAGGAAATGTTTCTTGAGAGAAATTTGATTCATTTTTCAGTTTCCTACCCAGATAGATACATATATTGGTAATGATGATAGACATTAATCTGTGTGTGTCTTATTCCATTTAAGTAAGAGCCTCTGATCTTATTTAACATAAAAAAATCTGTATTATCTGATATATGCCTTGCTACATGGGGGGAATAGGATCCTGTATATTTTGACTTTCTAAGCTCTATCTCATTTGCATGCTCTAGAAGGAAGGCATCAGAAGAAGGATTTGTCTCTGTTTACTCAATCATTGTGATTGTCTAGACAGGGCTTACATAATATCTATGGGTCACTCTTGGAATGCCCCCATACCTCTGAGAAACTGTCTAGAGTCAGGACCTCATTTTCAAAAGGGATTGGATGTTTGGGAAGGGCTGAGGTGACCTGCAGGGCACCATTCAGAAACCACATGGAAGGCAAATTCTTTGAGACCAGGGTGGTATCTACATAAGCATCATTTCAGATAAACCTTTTCTATTTTGTTCACAGTAGATTGCTCCACGTGCTCTTGTTCTGCTTATTCTATTTCAGTGGCCTTGCGAGAGACATGAATAAGAATCCTTTATTCCCACAGAGAACATTTTCTCTAAAAACAAAACCTCACCCTGGATTGGCTCCAGAAGAGTAGAAAGCATTCACTCCTCTGAGAAGTGAGCTGTGATCAACTGAAGAAGTTCTCAATGCATTCCCTATGGAAGGCTGCAGTAGAACTCATCACCACCTTCGTAGAGTTGAAGACACAGTATGTTCCCTGCTGCATTCAGATTCAAGGGCCACTTAGTACAGAAGGCTCACAGTAGATGTGAAAGCTGAGAGCATGCAGGGAAATCACTGGCAGCAGGTTGGGTCATGGACAGAGACACATGGATACAGTGAGAGCATTCCAAGCTCATTGAGTCACCAGGAGATCGATTTACCAGCCCAGAAGGTCACTGAAGATTCAGCCCAGAGAAAAGAGTGTCTGGGAGTCTGAAGACCCAGCTAGGGCAAACACAGGTAAGGATTTGAGAACATTTAAGGAAAGAACCTGATTGATCTTGCTGAATAGTATCCTCCTCATTTACAAGGTACCAGCATCAAACTTTGTAGGATCTTAAAGATTCAATCTTGGATGGATTTGATGAGAGAAGGCATACATCTATTTACATTTAACATGATGGTTTGACTATCTTCATATCCTCTCCATTCAAGATATGAATTTCCTCCCTTTAAACTACTCACATTCAAGTCTCTTCTCCTTTTCACAGGGGAAGGAATGGAACTCAGCTATCTGACCTAGAGTAGGCCGACCTAGAAAGGCTGTGCTCTTCTTTCAGATATATTTCCCCTGGAAACATGGGGTAGGGACGATGGAATTCATGATACATTGTCTTTTTCGATGCCATTTCTCTAAGGAACTTGGAGCTTGAGTGACAAAAGCGTGGTTTTTGCTAGCTAAAAGTTTAAGATGCAAAAAAAAAAAAAAAATAACAAAAGGATTCCTTAAGCTCTGCTTTTTTTTTTTTTTCCAGAGGATTGGGGCATAAGAATTAGAAGAGGGCCATTCTGTAAACCTGTCAAGAGCCGATGGCTAGGAAGGTCACAGGTCCTATGAAACACATACTTCCGATGTTTTACTAAGTGGACATATCCTCAAATTGTCTTCTAAATGTGTGTGTTTATACCCATCCCCTAATGCTGCTTTAGCCACAAAGACGCTGCTCCCTCTCCCAGTGGACAATAGTCAATGCAGAGACTCATCTGGTTAATAATAACTGTTGAGTGCTCAGCTCTGAATGGAACTTCCATATCATCCCCTCCAGGGCCCAGAGAATGTTGCACAACTTGCCATGAAAAATTTGTAACAGCCAGAGGATGGGGAGGACTGCTATAAAGTGGTCTTCTGGATGTGGTGTGACCATCGTACATCATAAGCTTACAGCAGTGTGGCTACCTCCATGAGATGTGCATAAAAAATCAAAGATGAGAAAGTAAGGATGGGACTGGTTGGGAAAATGAGAGTCATCTGGAGTGAGAAAGACAAGAGAGGATAGCGTGTGTGTGTGTTGGGGGAGTGGATATGGTCACACTGTATGATATGCATGCATACATTGCTAAATTCTCAATTAAAAAATAAGAGTGTTTGGAGTACAAGGAGGGATTTCCCAGTTAGAGCTGTTTGCATACATGGTGGCCCAGACCGACTGAGATCTGCATAGAGACAAGGGTGCAATAACTGTTTTGGAAACTGTGGTAGGAAGGAGGTAGTGAGTCAGTGCTTACTGCCCCCAGAAAAAGATATTGCTCACAGGGAGGCTTTGGACCAAGTCGGTACATGCATGCGGGGTGGGGCTGGAAAGATAGATTGGCCTATGGGAACTTAGAAGAAGAAAGCGAGGGAGAAAGATGTTAGTGGAGGGAAGGTGGGGAAACACATTGGAGAAACAGTACTGAAAGTGGGTTTCTTGAGGCAGGAAGAGCTGTTGAAATAGAAGAACTCCTCTGTTGCATTTAGAGCAAAGGGACATTTATGAGCTGTGTGGGAAGCCCATGTGTGTTCATCCCCTATTGTCATGCTTCCAACTTTCATTTCTTTTTTTTTTTTCCTCTCCAATACATGTGAAATGATTGTGGCTTAGAATGATACTGTTTTGGTAACCTTAGGGCTATACTTAATGTCTGAGTTTAGGGCTTAACCAAACATAGCTTACCTGGAAACTGTTCTTTATTTATCAGCATTCAGAATAGAAGCTGAGTCACAGCAGTGACACTGACACATCTGGTTTCTGTCTCATACTTCCTTATTTCCTGGCTGTTGGTGATCTTCACTTTTGCTTGTTGGGAACTTGAAATACCCCGTCTCAATAACCATTCACCCTGCTTACGAATGATGCCCTCAGACAGGGCCTTCACTGCTTCTCCTCCCAGACAGCAATGGCTTTGTTTTAATGACTGTTTTTCAACATTGAACTATATAGCATTTACTCAATTAACTGTCAGCAAAATAATGTCACCTGCTTAATTTCAAACACTGGCAAGTAACTTGGATTTTCATCTGTCTGTAAACTGGATTTCATTTGTGTTTAAAAGGAAGCCAGGGAAAGAACCCATATGTTTTTTGGGAAAGGCCTTTATTCCTTATTTTTCTAGCTTAGTAATCAATTATAATCTATTCACTCCATCTCCATGTCCCATACCCTGTTCACAGGTGAGGGTGGGGAGTACCACCATCTTAGAGGTGAAGCTGGAAAAACGTGGTGAGATGGATTCATACTGTACAAGATGTGAGGAATATCCTTTTTATCACAAGAAAGACTATGAGAATCCACCAATGGAGGAGTGGCTATTCACAAAGGTAAGTTAAGATGATCCTTTGATAGAAGAAAAAAACAGAGCTTTTTTTTTATTATGCTTAGTTTTTATCTTATCCTTTTGTATTATCTATATGTATAGTATATTAGTATATTGATAAATGTATATTTACTCTTTCTGTCTGTGTCTGTCTCTCTTCTCTCTCTCTCTCTCTCTCTCTCTCTCTCTCTCTCTCTCCCTCCCTATACTGAGTAGCTTTCCCAGAAGCATAAACTCCTGTGAGATTCTTATTCGGGTCCAAATGTGCACTAGGAACTGTATTTATCTATTCATCTGGTATCATCAAAGATGCTTTCTTCAGTGTAGTTATACATAAACTTCTGATGTGGAAGACAAATGAAGAAGGCTGAGTGCAGGGCAGGGATGGGCCTGCTCTCTGTGTTTAATTTAGTTTGTTCTCTGCTGTTTGGAAACCACTGTGGTAGCTTCCCAAGGATGCATCTTTGGAGAATAATTGGTTCAGTGTTTGAAATCAGAAAATGATACATGACCTGGTTTGGCTGGGCTTTTAATCCCAGCATTTTGGAGGCAGGGGCAGGTGGATCTCTGAGTTCAAGCCCATCTTGATCTACAGAGTGAATTCCAGGGCAGCCAGGGCTATACAGAGAAACCCTGTCTCAAAAAACAACAAAATAAAACAAAACAAAACGAAAACAAAACAAAACAAAACAACAAAAGATATGGCCTGACTCTCGGATTAGATTTCCCAGACATCTCACCAGCTAGACCCATCCCAGCTTCTTACATGTGCCATGTGCTTAACAAACTCTCACTGCCTAGGCTAAGAGAAGGGGCTTCAGCTGCTCAGGCATGACATGGGATAGATAACTCATTTCCTTCCATGCCATCTTCCCTGGGCCTTTTCTTGCCTTCTACTGTTTTTTTTTTTTTTTTTCAGCACAGTTGACTCTACCATAGTAAGTCATCAGTATTCAAGACTATATGGTACGGATTATAGACTGTTTCCAGACTCCTGAAGCAAGCACTTCTCTGATCTTATTTCAGATGTGCTCTTGGCTCCCTCTGCAGAAGGAGTTCTACTCAAACTAAACACAGTCTCGTAGCCTGGGAGTACCTTCCCATTAGTCAATGCAATTATGTTTTCATCTGGATCAGAGATAGCCTATTTCTCAAGGAAACTTCATAGTGTCATTTATAGGGTATAATATTGTCTTCATAACCTTTGTGGGACAAATTGCCTTATGGAATTAGGAGGAAATGCAGGGTGTGGCAACTGCAAACATTACTCAGAACCTCCTCCAGTTACTGTCCACAGAGTAGCTGTGATGAGGTAGTCAGTGAGCCTCCTCTGTTTCCAGCTCTAGATCTCAAGACACCACACTTGAAAAGGCCCCAGCCAATGACTAGGTAAGGGCATGGAACAAAGACCTGGTTGCTTATGTCTGTTGAAGACTTAGTTCCAATATTGGACAAAAGACTGTATCATTATTGCACCACTCCTCCACACCCAATCCTGCATGTAGTTTTTCACAGTTGTTTCTTTACTCCAATATTTTTTTTGTACTCCGAATTGTGTTTTATCATCTGCTTCCCAGAAATCAAGAGGTTGGTTATAAAGGGGAAGGAGATGGGAACCAAATATAGGATTCAGTGGGTTTTCATTTTGTTTTTGAATTAGATTTCTTAAGTTTATTCTCCTAGCTGGTGGTTATGAATAGGCTATGGGGTATCTGAGGGTTACTGTTAGGATATACATATGTACACACACACACACACACACACACACACACACACACACACATATATCCACAATATTGCATACATAACATGTCTAAACACACTGAATAATTTATGTACCATTAAAAATTATATGAAACACAATTCACATAGTTTTTTAGGAGGTGCATCTTTAAACAGTAGACACTGGTATAATACAGACACACACACACACACACACACACACACACACACACACACACACACACACAAAAACTCACACAAAACTCTCAGTTTTTGAAAACTGTAAATCACTGATTTAGATGATGCTACCTTCTTGTCTTCATACAGTAACTGGGGATTCCCCCCCCCAAAAAAACACAAAATAAATAAGGAAGTAAATAAATAACAACTTTGCGAAAGACTGCCTGATTCCCACACTACATAGCTCTCATTTGACCATTTCAAAGCTGGGAGGTACTAGAATGACCAGCTATAGAATACAATGAGATGTCTCATGACTTTTTAATACAATTTCAAATCTAAAATGTTGCATATTAACTGGGAATATGCAATCTTGACCCTTCTGTGCAGAAGGAGAATTAGGTAATAGATGTTTAGCTTGTACCAAATAGCCTCATTGTTTGGGAGGAAGTGCATAGTTTAAACATACAATAGCTCTCTTTTGAAAGCAGGTACCCTGTAGGTTTGGGTTGCTACTATATAGATCTCATACATGGAAGAGATCAGTGGCCTTGTCTAACAGAGGAAGACAGTGAGACTCATTCTGGAAAAGCCTAAAAACTTGTTGAAGCCATGTAACAAATATACATGACACATTTCATTATGGTTTGATGAGGTCAAAAGTTGCTAGGTGTTTCTGTTGCTGTGATAAAATGACCAAAAGCAAGTAAGAAGAAAGGATTTTTTTTTTTTGACTTACACTTCTAGGTAAACAGTCCATCACTAAGGTACATCAGGGCAGAAAATCGAGCAGGACCCTGGAGATAGGAATTGATGCAGAGACCACAGAGAAAAGCTGCTTACTGGCTTGCTCCCCTTGGGTTGCTCAGCCTGTTTCATTATTTGCCCAAAACCATTTGCTCAGGGGTTATACTGCCACCAGTGGGCTGGGCCCACCCACATCAATCATTAGTCAGTAACCCCCCCCCCAGACTTGTCTGCAGGCCAATCTGAGGGAAGAATTGTCACTACAGAGCTTCTCTCTCCCCAGATGATGCTAGCTTGTGTCAAGTTGACAAACACGAGCCAGCACACTAGGTTTATGTTTCAGGATATGCTAGACTGTGTTGCTATGAGAAATATCACAGATGTTGTGGGTTAAGGTAAAGGAATTTTATTACTGTGTCACCCAGATCTCTAGGACACCTGTAGTCCACTTGGTGCACCATCAGTCCAAGCTGCTTTGATTTCATGACATTTCTATGTCAAGAAATGACTATGTCATTGTCAGAGCTTGTGTGTGGGACTACAAAAGGATCCCTCACTAGTAGCTAAATGCCAAGGAGACATACAGGTCACAGTCACAGGATGCTGTAAGAGCTGAGGAGACTGGGATAAAGTGAGCATTAAACATCTACATCTTGCCAGCCTCCCAGAATGCCACAAAATCCCATTTACAGCTGATGATGCTGGTTTATTAAGTCAGTTTTGATCAGCAGCATCTAAACTATGAATCAGTTCATTGTTATCAGTCACTAAAACATGGAAGGGAAAAAACATGGGGGAAATATAAGATCCTGTACCAGTGAGGTTTCTATTGTTGTGATAAATACCATGACCAAAAGCAACCTGGGGAGGAAAGGGTTTATTTCAGCTTACAGTTATAGTCCTTAATGAAGGGAAATTAAGGCAGGAACCTGGAGACAGAAATTGAAGAAGCAGCCATAAAAGAACACTGCTTATTGGTTTGCTCCTCATGGCTTGCTCATCAGCTTGCTTTCTTGTACAACGCAGGACAATCAGCCCAGTGGTGCCACCACCCACAATGGGCTGGGCCTCCAAAATTAATCTTAACCAAGAAAATTCCCCACAAACTTGCCTACAGGCCCATCTAATGAAGACATTTTCACAACTGAGTTCCCTCTTCCCCGATGAGCCTAGCTTGTGTCAAGTTGACAAAAAAAACTAAGCAGCACAGATCCCTTTTAAAATAAATAGCCCAGTGACTTGATCAGGCAGGACAGAGTTTTTTACATGGAATGCCTGGAAGACCCGGCAGTATACATGTGTAATGGCTGAGGGCTGTACACTTGAAGGGGAGGGGGAGTGCTAAAGAAGGTAAGGCTGCCCTTGGCCATGGTCTTTGAATTTACCACCCAGTCTCATGGTCTTCATGAGTCAGGCCCTTTTCGGATGTCTGTGGTGTCATTTAAATGATGCCAAGCTTTATCAGAACTTGGATCTTCTGTTTGTCTGCCTTCCCTCCCCAGCTGTCTCACATTACATTGAAAATAAGTTGCAAGCCTCAACTCTTGGGTTTCCTGTCACATTTTCATATCTGCAATGTTGGTGGGGGTGGGGGCAGGACTGTGATGACATGATGAACATGACAGAAGAAGAAGTCAGGTCTAGTTTCAGCTGATTTATCAACTCCTTGACATTTCTCAGGCCGCTGATTTTGCTGTCTCCATGTACCCAGGAGAGGTCACCCACCCAGCCTGGGGTTTCTGTTAGTCTTTCAGGGCTGGGTGTTTATTCAAGTCCTTAAGCCATCTGGAACTGTGGGCTGGACTTGGACATCCTCTTCCTTGGAGCTCTTCCCCCTTTTTCCTTCCAAGATGGACAGGTAAGTGAGGAACCATTTTCACTCCTAGTGGAGCTGAGACATTTACTCTCTGATGAAAACAAGGTGTCAGTAGGGAATCAGATGAGAACCAGGACGAGGTCTAAGAGTTTTGTTAATTTATTCTAGTGAAGTTTTTCTTCCAAATGTTCTAATGGGGATAGAGCTTATTAGTCTAGGACAAGACATTGGAGACTGGATTCACAACCTGGCTCTACCACTTACCATTTTATGAGATGAAGTTCCTTAATCATTTTGATACCCAAATCTTTTCTTTTGAACTTCAAAATATGCACAGTTCCATCTACTTCAGTAAATTTGATGCTTGATGCTTTTAGTGGAAGATTCAGTAAACATTATTACTGTTTCGATCTGATGGGATTCTGGGAGAGAGACACCTGGTTAAGTTCACACCCGTGATTATCATTTTTACTGAGAGAACCATGCCATGGAACTCAAGATGCTCCTACTGACATGTGTGACTATCTCCATATCCACAA